CAGGCTCTGAGCCGGCAGTCAGCACAGAGCCCGACGCGGGGCCCGAACCCACAAACCGCAAGATCATGACCTGAGCGAAAGTCGGACGCTTAACCGACTAAGCCACCCAGGCGCCCCTTTACCACAATTTTTTAAAAAGGAGGACAAAGTCCCCTCTCCCTGCCACGCGCAGCCTCCCGCTCAGCTGCACCCCAGAGCCCTGCTTCTCACTTCTTAGTCATCTTGGCCAATTTGGATGATTTTAAAGCTTCCTTCTGTAGATTTTCACCCCAAGGTGTCTAGCACAGACCAAGGAGCTGAGTGAGAGAGAGGGCAAGGGAGGCATGCATTTTAAAAAGGAAAAACCTTGCAGGAATCAAAAAAAGAAAAGAAAAGAAAAGAAAAAAGAAAAACCGTCACCAAATCTGAAAACCCATTTTCAAATTTTGAAAATGGCTTGGAGAATCTTCTAGTTCAACCCACGAGGCAACAGCAACGCCCCTCAGAGCCAGCCTGTATGGGTTCAAGTAATAACTCCTCCCCCATTAGCTGTGTGACCCCAGACAAGTCACACAGCCTCTCTGTGTCTCCGTTTCTTCACTTATAAAATGCAGGTGCTGATGCTACCCCTTCCCACCCAGGAACACAGCTCACCGTGGCAAGGTCTGAATGTGTTCATACATGCAAAGCACTTAGAACAGTGCCTGGTACCAAATAGAGCCTGAAAGAGAGTTTGCTATTATTGTCATCTATATTCAAGTGAATTCAAACTTCTGCTTGAATGCCTTTTGGGGTGGAGAGCTCACTCCCCACCAGGACTACCTGTTCCCTCATTAGAAGATTGGTGTGTCAGGAAGCTTTTCCCTCCTGCAACTTCTCTTCCTGATAAAAGCCCTGGCCCTGCCCTCTGACACCTGTCACACAGACACACGTCAATCTGGGCCACCTGGGCGGCTCAGTCAGTTAAGCGTCTAACTCTTGCTTTCCGCTCAGGTCATGATCTCACAGTTCATGAGATGGAGCCCCGTGTCAGGCTCTGTACTGACAGCGAGGAGCCTGCTTGGGATTCTCTCTCCCCCTCTCTCTGTCTCTCCCCACCCTCTCAAAATAAATAAACTTAAAAAAAAAAAAAAGACGCACATCAGTCAAAGTCAAATGACACCTGCTTGGTGCTGTGCTGCCTTGTTTGCCCGAATTGATCTTCCTTTGGGGACCCACAGCTCATGCGGCCCAGAGCACAGTGTGCAGATGTCTGTCCCCATTCAGGCTGGGCAGTCAAAGGGCGCTGCACACTTGCTCAGGATGCCTGCCAGGGCCTTCCCAGCTAAGGACCTCAGTGTGCCCAGGCCCCAAAATATCTTCTAACTGGTTCCTAAGCCTCAGCCTGCCGGGCTTCAGACGGGAGGTGGCTGCTGGTGCCCAGGGCCCGCCCCAGTGTGTCTGTAGCCCTGCCTCCTCGAAGGAGGGAAACAGCACTGAATCTTACTGCTCAGGGCCCGGCGGGTCTACACGGGAAAAAGAGGTCACCCATCTGGCCAGGGCAGTCTGTCACTGTGGAAGATCACAGAGCTCAGCCAAGTGGTGTGAGAGCCCACTGCTAGAGTCCCAGCACCTTACAGAGGATTTGCCAGCACATTCTAGCAGGCTTGGTGTGGATTCTGGGATCAAAGCTGGCTCTACCCCTTCCTGGCTAGAAAGTGGGAATAATAATAATAGTTCCTATCTTCTGGGGCCGGACTGAAGAGTGGAGAGACAACCCAGCTCTGACCCTGCAAAGAAAATGCTTAATAAGTGGGAACCATACTGGGAAGATGGGCTGAGGTGGGCCCTGGATGTCTCACTTAAAAAAAACTTTTTTTTCATGTTTACTCATTTTTGGAAGAGAGACAGAATGCGAGCGGGGAAGGGGCAGAGAGGGAGACACAGGCTCTGAAATGGGCTTCAGATCCTGAGCTGTCAGCACAGAGCCCGCTGCAGGGCTCGAACCCACAACCTATGAGATCATGACCTGAGCGGAAGTCGGACGCTTAACCAACTGAGCCACCCAGACGCCCCGGGATGTCCCACTTTAAATCTGGAAGCATCGTTTAGTCTGTTGCTTCCTCTTACATATAGAAAACTGAAGCCCCCCTTGGGGGGCTCAGTTTGTTAAGCGATGAACTCTTGATTTCAGCTCAGGTCATGATCTAATGGTTCGTAGGATCGAGCCCTGCATCTGGCTGTGCGCTGAAAGAGGGGAGCCTGCTTGGGATTCTCTCTCTTTCTCTGACCCTCCCCTGCTGTGCTCTCTCTCTGTCTCTCAAAATAAATAAATAAGCTTAAAAAAAAAAAAAAGACATACTTTGGACGCAAGCTGAGAGGCCCAAAAGTCACACAGCAATTCGGTTACCACTGAGATCAGTACTGGATAAGCTGAAGCGAGGTTCCCGCTTCTTCTGGGCTCCAGCCCTTGCCCTCCCAGAGCGCTCCTTGCCAGGTCGGCCCCGTCTGAAGGGCAGGAGAGGCAGGGCCGTCTGTGGCTGGAACGATGGGGGCTCCGAAGGTCCTCAAAGCGCTCTGGTCCCCCGCCCCGCCCCAGCCGGATGAGGGCAGCACCCGCTGCACATCTTGCAGTTCCCGCTGACAGCCGCTAGGTGTCGCCACACGGCAAAAAACAAAAACAAAAACACAAAAATCAGGTCACCGGGAGCCGGAGACCTAATGGGAGTTCTGTCTGGGAGCAGGACGTCTCCCTGAATTCCTCCCCATCCTCTGTGGGCTCCAGCCCACAGCTCTAGAGTTTTCCTCGCAGCGCTCCCGACTATTTCAAACCTTTTGCCACCTCCTCTGCCCCCGCCAGCTGCTGAAAGGAAAACAGCCTCTCCCCGCTGAGTGCCTCCTCCCCACACAGTGCTCCAGCCAGGGACCCATCACGCTCGGAGCATGCCAGGGCTACCCACCGTCGCCCTTGCAGGCGCACGCGGCGAGCCCTCCCTCGTCTCCACCTACCACCTGCTAGACACTGCGCCTAGAGCACCTCAAGGGCTTTACAATGTACAACCCCACAGGCAGGTACCATTTCCCAGAAAGTGAAACTGAGGCATAAGTAACACGCACCGAATCTCAGTTATTAAGTGGTAGAGCCAGGGCTTATGCCAACAGGCTTCAGAGTCTGCGCTCTTCCTCGTAACCCCTTCTCTGTGCACACTTTGGGGAGGGCCACTCCATCCCTCTGTCCTGACCACGCATGGAAGTCCTACCCTCCATTGTGGCCCATGGGTGGGGCTCACCTGAGCCTCTGCCATCAGACTGGGAGAGCAGGGCTGCGCACGCACTTCTGGCCTTGCAGCTTCTGATCCCTGAACAGGGTTGTTCCTCTGTATGTGGGGCGGGGGGGGGACCTCCCCTTGGCCCCGGGGCACCTCTGGGTCCAGGGCCTCTCTGCAGGATCAGGTGTGGTCGCAAGCTGGCCAGTCCTGTCAATCGAGGCTGAGCGCAGCAAGGGCATCTCCTGGGCGGGCAGCCCCCTTTCCCTCAGCATCTCTTCATTCACACCTTGCTTTCCCCTAATTGTCGGGGTGTTCTGCACCCAACACACACCCGCTGTGAGGGCGGAAGGCATAACTTCCAGGAAATTTGTGAGCTGATTGCCGAACTCCGCCATTGCTAAAAACCCAGTGATAGAAACGTACAACGTAATCAATTACATTAAAAACAAAGGTAGTACATTATGTTCCTACATTTATCTGTCATTCGTGGTCTGGAGGCTACTTTGGTTTACTGAATCTGTCCGGTGCAAGTCCTGTATGGTGGGGCCTGTGTAGGGGGGGTGAGCGTGACTTCCCAACTTCCTGCTCAGTGACATTGCCTTGGTAGTTTGAAAGCAGCCACAATGGGAGAAATGGGCAAATGCTACACATCAGGGCTCCCCACCCCCACCACATCCCCAGAGACCCAGATGTTAAACATTTACAAGGCTGACAGCACCTATGGGGCAAATGGGCCGGTGCAAAGGCAGCAGGGGGTTCGGAGTTGGCTGACACCCATTTTAATCCTTCACCAACTCTGAAGCCCAGGCAGTGTCCCTGGGCCTCACCTTTCCCATCTGCAAAATAGGCTGAGGGGCTCCTGGTTGGCTCAGTCAGTTGAGCGTCCGACCTCAGCTCAGGTCATGATCTCACAGTTCGTGAGTTCAAGCCCCGCATCGGGCTCTGTGCTGATGACTCAGAGCCCAGAGCCTTGGGATCCTGCTTCAGACTCTGGGCCTCCCTCTCTCTCTGCCCCTCCCCTGCTCAGGCTCACTCCCTCGCTCGCTCTCTCTCTCTCTCTCTCAAAAAATAAACATTTAAAAATAGGCTGAGAATAGCAGCTTTGGAAAATGGAGCATCAACTGTCTTCCGGGAGCTGAATGCATTAAGAGGATAGGTACCTCATCAAAGGTGACACGCCTGGTTTGAGCCCCACTCTTAGGGGCTGTGGCTTATTGGCCCTGTGACCATAGCGCCCAGGTCACAGGGTGGTTTGGGGGATTATCGGAGGTGATGTGTGTAAAAGAGCTTGGCACTGATCTGGCTCTAGTAATTCACCCAGAGGCTTACGGGTGGGATCCAGACAGCCCACGTTCGAGTCTCAATTCTTGGCTTTCCGAGATCCCCGGCCAGTCAAGGCGCTGCTTGTCTAAGCCTTGTATTCCCCACGTGGAAAGAGGGATAATAATAGCTACCTGGAAGAGCCACTCAGAGTACTGGAGATAAAGGATGTAAAGCATCTGCTGAGAAGTGCATGCCCAATAAACGGGAGTGATTGTTTGAGATTATCTTTAATTTCTTGTCACTCAGACAGCAGCTCTGCCCAGCTCTGTCCGGGGAAGCCAGCCATGGGGGTGGGGATGAAGGAGGCGGGACTTTGCCTGGGCAGCTCATCCCCATCCCAGCCAGGTCAGCCTCTCAGTGGGCCCTGGCCCTAGAAAGGCTTCCGAGGCGGCGTGGGGACGCTGTTGCTAGGCACCGGTTGCCAGGCAACCCACTGTTTCTCCTGGCCTGGCCGCCTCCCAGAGGGCTTGAGCTTCTCAGGAGCAGCTCCTCCTGCCTCTGGAAGCCTCTCCAGACCTCAGAGTCACAGCAGAGGGCAGGTGAGGGTGGGGCTGGCTGGGGTTGGGCCCCAGGAGGGCCAAGCCAACTTCCCTCAGCAGGGCCCGGGGGCGGGGGGGCGGGGGCGGCGGGAAGACAAGGAGCCCAGGGCTGGGAGTGAGCCCTGGAGCTGGGGCAGCCAGCAATTCCCATGTGGGAGGGCGTCTGTCCACTCGGTCTGCAGAGGAGGCCAAGAGGGGATTAAGATTGGGAGCTGGGAGTCGGATGCCTATTATGAACGAACCCTTCATCTCTTGAAAACTCAGTTTCCCCGCTACACCCTGGGGAGACAATATTGAAGGAAGGCGAAATGAGCGTAAATGAGTGAAGTGCTGACAACGATGAGTCTTTTCTTTGGCGTGCGGGGGTGTCAGTGGAGAGGGACAGGCTGAAGGGGAAGGCACTGGCGGGGCGGGGTTCGAGCTTCACCTCCATGGTCTCTGCAGCCCAGGACTGAGCCAGGCTCGGGGTCTTTGGGCTGCTGAACTGACGGGGCTCCTTGTGTGTCTTTCCTAGGTGCCCCCCACCCCTGCCCGGGGGCAGCCCTGCCCCACAGCATCATGATGGGGAAACTCCCCCTGGGGGTCGTCTCCCCTTATGTAAAGATGAGTTCAGGAGGCTGCACGGATCCCCTGAAATTCTATGCCACCACCTACTGCACAGCCTATGGTGAGGGCTCTTTTGTGCAGAGTCCAGCTGGGAACAACTTCCCTCAGCAGAACCCCAGCACGCTCCACCCCCGAGCCTCCCAAGGACGTGTCCACACCTGTACAGTCAGTCTGGCTTTGCCCCGCCGCCCCCTCCCTCCGCATCCATCCTGTTATCCCGCCACACTGACCTTGTCCTCAGCCCATCGTTTCTGTTTCCTGCTGCGGCAGTCTCGAAGGGCCAGGCTTCCACGGCTCCTGTCCCACGTGTCCCAGCCCCTGGCTCTATGCCTTTTCCATCCCAAGGAGCCCGGGCCTCTGGGGAGGAGGGGGGTTGCCGGGAAGCCCTGCTCACCGCTCTTCCACTCCGCTGACCCATGGTCCTGTCTCCTCACTTCCCCCCTCGGGCAGGTCGGGAGGACTTCAGGCCCCGCATGGGCAGTCACGAAGGCACAGGCTACAAATCAAATTACCGGCCTGTGGTCTCATACCAGGCCAATCCCGATGCCCTGGACAACCCGGCCATGGGGTACGGTCTGTACGATCTCTCTCACCCCCTGCTCCATTGAGCCTTAGCTCACAGGGCCGTCGAAGCTCATCAGGCCCCCTATAAGCTCCATGTGTGGAGACCCTGAACTTGCCTGGCCTACATCTGGGGTCCTGGGGCACTGAGGGCCCGGTGCCCAGCCTGAGGGCCCAAAGGCAGGCGGACTTCTATGGGAGGTTTGAGGGATGTGGGAAGCTTCTAGAGGTAAGCCCTGCAGCCTCCACGTGGCCCTTCCTGGTGGTAATCACTCCTGCTCCCGCTTCACCCTCAGGGAAGAAGTCCGCCACAATTTCCAGTCAGTGACCAGTCAGAGCTACCGCCCCCTGGAGGTGCCTGATGGCAAATACCCGCTGCCTTGGCACATGCATCAGACCAGCTCTGGCTACTCTCGGGAGAAACCCAGTGCGGCGACCTCCACTAAGGAGGTCAGTGCTGGGCTAGGGGGAACCCCCAGGAGAGAGGGGGAGCCCAAGGCTGGGGTGCAGGCAGGGCCGAAGGGCGGGAAGGGTGAGGATCCCTCCAGCAGAGAGTGGGACTGAGCCACCAAGGGTTGGTCAAGGCTGAGATGAGGAGCACAGGGGAGCCACATGTGGGCTGGGAGTCGGCTCACCTTTATCACCTTCATTCATTCATTCAACCAATGTGTTCCGGACATCTCTTCTATATATGAAGGTGCAAGTGCTGGGAAAAAAAGAGGCGGGGCGCAGCAGAAATGGAGGTACAACAGCAAAGCAGGAGGGTCGGAAAAGGGCTTGCTGTGGAGACATTAGTCAAAGAGTCAAGGGAGGCTAGTGTTCCTCTAAATGCAGCTCTGGAAGAGAAAGAGAGTTCCAGGCAGTGCAGACGGCAAGTGCAAAGGCCCTGCGTTATGAGTATGTGATGTGACAAAGAACCACAGGGAGGCAGGTGGCTGTAGCCAAGTGAGGAGCCCAGGTCCTTGTGGGTCGCTGTCAGGCCATGGGATTCTACTCCAAGTGCAGTGGGAAGATTGCAGGGCTCTGAGCAAAGAGGGACATGAACCAACTTCCTTATAAAGAGGCCCCTCAGGCTATAGATACTCCCTAGGGGTCAAGGGCAGGCTCAGAGTCAAGGAGTGACTGCCATCGCCTCACCTGGCGGATGATTGGCTGCTTCTCCCTCCCAGGTCAGGAAGGTCCATTTTGACACCCAGAACTATCGGCCGCAGGCCATCACAGGGCTGGAACGCAAGGTCACGCCTCTGCTCTACCAGCAGCAGGGCAAGGGCTCGCTGGAGTGGGACGATGCCCAGCGCGTGAGTGGGCAGCCCCCAGGAAGGGCTGTGAGCTGGGCAGAGGGGCCAGACCCACCTATTTCCCCTCCTGGAGACACGTCCCTCTCTGACTCACCCTAAAAGCCAACTAAATAAAGGCGGGCTCAGGATACCTAGAGAAACTGGGGAGAGCCAAGGCTATTCGTTATTTCCAAGACAGCATCAGAGCCATCATCACAGGCTTCCTTACTCATGTCTTGGGATTTAACCCCAGCGGCCCGTTCTCTCCCCTCTCCCATCCAGACTCATTCAGCCTTGGGCAGGGATTTGTGAAGCGAGCACCCATTTTCTTCCCTCAGCCTCTCTCCTTGCCTTGAGCCCCCTCCTAATCTGGGCCCCAGGGTTCTGGGCCCCACGTTCATTACTGGGAGTCGTCCAGTGGGGGAAGTGACCGTTTCCACTGCCACAGGGGCACCGTCTTCTCATGGGGGGATTCATGGGGCTCTGATGCCCCATCAGAGAGAGAGATCTGGGTCAGGAGCGCAGTGCTGGCCCTCCCTGCTCCGAATATGCCACACAGGTCTACTCAGAGCATACACGGGGCTACCACGGCCACCAGGGCCTCCTGGGTGCTGGTTTACCTTATGTTCCCCCATTGCTCACTTCTGTGTTCCAGGGCCCACGCTTCATGACTTCCGAGTACAACTCCAAGTATCTCAAGCAGCCTTCAAACCAGCCAGGTAGGCACGTGTCTGAGCTCATGCCGCCCTCCCACCATACTTCCCTACACCTGAGCCCTAGGAGAGACACGGGGGGGACCCGGATGGGGCTGGTATAAGACAAAGAAGGCAGCAGAGGAAGAACGAACACACAGGCAGCTTGGGGGAGACATGCCTTAGTGCCAGTCCCCAACGGGCACCTCACTCGCTTAGGAGGGCTGTCGAACCTGACCACAGCCGCCTCCTGGCCTGTTAGCCTCTGTCCTTCCTTCCCCTCTCCTCTGCTCCTCTCCCCTCTTGTCTGTCCTGGACTCTGGAGTCTTCCAGGTGCCCACGATTCTGGAGCTCAGAGCTAGCTCCGCCCCTGGTGGCTGGGACACGTAGAGACCACGTGGGTGGGGCCAGGTGGCTGGAGTGGGACTAGGCAGCACAATAGGGGGGTGTGTTTTGCAGATCTCTTGCAGAAGAAATCAATTGGTGCCAAGGAGGAGACTGGCTTCACCGAAGAGTCTACCAAGAACCCCATTGTCTTCCAGCCACCGGCCCAGGGCCTCCCTGGGGACCCGGTAAGTCAGGCTGGTGCCCACTTGAACCCCAGGGCGACTTCTAGCTTCTTTAAAAGTGTGAGCTGCCCAACCCTTTGTTCAAATGCGAGATGAACGAGTGTGGGTAAAAACCACCGCTTTGGTCCAGCTCCCCCATTTTATGGAGGAGAAGACTGAGGTCCAAAGAGGAGAAGGGGCAGAGCCAACATTTGCACAAGGGTTCGGACTAGAGCCCTGGCCTGCATTGTTCTCCCCAAACTCTTCCCCTGCCTCCATTGCCCCAATTATACCCGCTTGTCTCCAGCCCCACTCTGCGCTCGGGACAAGGGGCCACTGTCTGTGCGGGGCTGATGTTCCTCTGGGGGCCTCTTTCCAGGTGCTCCTCCCTGGCCGGAGTGTCACCAGGTCCGACTTCCCCCCAGTGACCCACCTTCGTGTAAGCTGAGCCGGTGGGGCTGGGGTGGCCTGCGGGGCCAGTAGGGTGGAAGCCTGGGGGAGGGGCAGGCACCCTCGGGTGCCAGTGATGCTTTCCTGTCGCAGGGGGATGAGTTCCTGCCTGTGCTGCCCAGAGGCTCCGAGCAGGAAACGGGCTACAGCCGAGTGAATGAGAGGTTGCTGAACCCCAGAGTGAGTGGCCTTTGGGGGGTGCGGGGGGCTCCCTTAGAACAAGAGTGCTCTGTACGGGAGGAGACAGGGAGGTCTCTTGGACGCAGCAGCATTTGGGCACTAAGGAACGGGAAGAAGTGGGATATTTGGACGTCCTGGTGGAGGGGGAAAGGCCTAGGAAGCTGGAAAGTGAGGCATGCCTTTGGGTTTTTTTTGGGATTTTTTTTGTTTATTTTGAGAGAGAGAGAGGAACAGAGAAGGGAGAGAGAGAGCATGAGCAGGGGAGACGCAGAGACAGAGAGGGAGAGAGAGAATCCCAAGCAGGCTCCACGCTGCCAGCGCAGAGCCCGATGCGGGGCTTGAACTCATGAATCGTGAGCCGAAACAAGAGTCGGGTGTTCAACTGACTGAGGCACGCAGGCGCCCCCCGAGGGGTGTCTTTCAAACAGAGAATTTGGTTTGTCTGGAGGAGGCAGGGCGAGGCCCCAGGGCTGGGGCTGCCCTTCCCCCCCTCTATTGCTGCCTTACCCTGGCCACCCGGCCACACGGCTACCTTCCTTGTGGCTCTGTCCCCCGCAGGTGGCCCCGCCTGGCCCGGAGCCTAGCAGCATGAGCCACTGGCAATTCCAGCCCCCGCAGCGGGTGCAGCAGACCAACGTCGCCCTGCTCGGCAGGGAGACTGTGGGGAACAAGGTGAGGCCGGGCCACCCAGCCCCACCCCCAAATCTTCACCCGCCCCCAACCTGCCACGTGCCCTCTGTACCTCTTGCGCAGGAGCCCACAGGGTTCAGCCTTAACAACCCCAGCTACATCCGGAGCCCCTCTGACCCCGACATGGATAATCGGTACCTGACCACCTATAACCAAGGGTAAGCCCCGCTTCCCCATGCAGATCCAGGGCTGCGAAGCTGGCTCGCGGTTCTCAGACAAACACGGGGACAAGTAATGAGCTCACAGTCTGCGAAGTAGACCAACACTGAATTAATGTGGGTTCCCCCGGAAGCAGCCCCTGAGCCAAGGATTTGAGCGCAAGCCTCTTACCGGGGAGTGTGGGGGAGTGGGAAAGCGGTATGGGGAACGGAAGGCAGCCCGGAGCGGGTGTGCTGTTCATCAGCTATCCCGGGGGAAGACTCTAGAAGACAGTGCAAACACACAGCCCAGGATTATCCCAGCCCAGGGGAGAGGGAGCTAGGGGGCCGATATCTCCATATCCATCGGTCCTTAGTTAAGGGCTGTCCCCAGGGACCATGCTAAAAATCCCAGGTGCCTCCCTGCTCAGGCAGAGCAAGCTGTAGCAGCCTCTGGGAAACCTTCCTCTGCACTTCTCTCGGATGCAGTGCAGGCCATTGATGTCCAGGCTGGTGGGCAGGGGGAGAACAGGGGGGCTGAAGGGGGTCTGGGTGGAGCCGCAGGCCGTCTGCTAAGATACTACATCCAGCCCGTGGCAGGTGGGCTCTGTGCTCCCCAGAAAGTAAGCTCTTTGCTGAGCATCAGGGAGGGCTTCCAGGAGGAAGTGGCCCTAGAGCCGTGGGGAGGGCTCCTGGGGCCAGGACTGGATGGGGATCAAGGAGATGTGATTCTCTGGACCAAAGCCTCCTCGAACACCACCTGTCCTCTGTGTGTCGGCGTGTGTCACCTGTGTCCACACTGCCCCCCAATCCCTAGGTCTCCCAAGATGCCTCCCATCCTTGGGGCGCACCCCCCTCTTTGGGATGCGGATCTGGAGGCTCAGAGAGGAGAAGTGGCGCCTGAGCCACACGGCAGGTCCAGCCCCCACAGAGGGCGAGGGGGAGGGGCTGAGACACGCTCTGGGGGACAACAGCGTCCCTGCGCCTCGCTAGGCAAGTGCCCGCGCCCTGTAGCTCTGGCGGAGCCTCCGGCCCAGCCGCCTCTGCCGGGTCCTTCTCCCACCTGCCCCTCGGCTCTCCTGAGCTCCTGCCAGTTGTCAGGCACGCTGCCCTTCCCGGGGGGGGGGGGGGGTGTTGCAGCCACTGATCTTCTCACCCCCACTTCGTAAGCTTAAGGGCAGGGCCCGCATCGTCTTCCTGGCACTTTCAGAGCCCAGCCCGGTGCTCAGTGAATAGTAGCCAGATGGAAGCGAGGTGGACCGCCTGGAGAAAAACAAATGACACGGGGTCTCCACTCCCCATCCTTGGAGGTGTTCACAGGCCGGGGGGAGGCGCACTTGAAGGGTGCTTTGTGCTCCGAAGTGCTGGCTCTGCATCAGGGGGTTGCCCCAAGGAGGGCCATTGAGCTTGGAGCAGAGACGGCGTTCCCAAGGGCTCGGGAGTGCCTGGCAGTCGGCACAGTGTGGGCAAAGGCCAGGAGGCTGGAGGGATCGGAGGCAGTCTGTGCCCTGCTGGAGCCAAGCCTCCTGTCCCAGAGGGCAGAGGGGCTGCAGAGGTGGGCAGAGGCCAACTCGCTGCCAAGAACCCACCCCCTGTGCTGCAGGTACTTTGAGAACATCCCGAAGGGTCTGGACCGAGAAGGCTGGACTCGAGGCGGCCTCCAGCCCCAGAAGCCTGGAGGCTACGCCCTCAACCAGCCGGTCACCCGCATGGAGGCCCCCCCCACCCCCGCAGAGAGCCTCCGGGGCCTGCACCCCCACGTGGGAAGGTAGCTGGCCCTCTCGCCCCCTCTTTTGCTGAATCCAAGCCTTTCCCCAGCTTCTTCCCTCCCTTCATCTGTCTGTCTGTCTGTCTGAGGGGCCCCTTTCCTCTCTCAGTCTTGTGCATTGCTTTTCCTGTCCCTCCCCCCCCTCCCCAGCGACCCCTCCCTCCTCGAGGCTGCCCTCCACCCACCTTGTTCCCATCCCCCATTCCGCGGGGGGGGGGGCAGCACCTGCTCCCATCACCCTTCCCCCGGGCAGCGGGGGGCGGGGGACGCGGTGAGGACATGGCTGAATGGAGTGTGGTTCCGCCTCACTCTGACTCCTTTCCGCTCAGTTCAATTTCCTCAAAAATTACATTTATAAGACAGTGGCTCAGAGTTGGCAGGCAAGGAGTGTTTGTGGCTTGGCTGACCTGGCTGAGGGCGGCCCCAGGGGAGGGGTAGGCAGAGGAGAAGGTGCCACCTCGCGCTGCTCCCCTCCCTGCAGAACCCTGGTGGCGGAGGACCCCTTTTACCGAGGCTCCGCGCCTCCCAGCAGCCGGTTCGCCACGCCCAGCTGAGCCTCAGGCTGGGTAAGGGGCTCCCCTGCCCTGGGGCCTGCAAGCCCTGCTGGGGACCCAGCTTCAGGGTGGGGGGTGGAAGACTGGGGGGCCCTCAGGGTGGAGGAGGGCACAGAGTCTCCCCGGAGCCCCTCAGGCCTCATCTCCGCTCCCCACAGGTTCGCCAGCCCAGCGGGACAGGGGCCACAGGGGCCGGGTTCCCATCCCATCGCCTGCTGGGACTCCCCTGGCTACTTTCCTAATGAAATAAAGAGCCGTGCGAAGCCGGCCAGCGTGTCCAGTCCCTGCCAGGGAAGCAGGGGAAGGACTGGGGAGGGCGCGGGGTGGGGGTGGGGGGTGCAGAGGCGGAGGGGCCAGGGAGCAGGCCAGACAAAGTAGGGGAGCCCCGGAGGGGCAGAGGGGGGCCAAGGAATAGGTTTTCTGGCTTATGAAATGGGGCAGGGGGATGAGAACGGGACTTCCAGGGCCTTCTGGGTACCTCGTTTGGATGGTTTAAAGGAGAAGGAAGGACCCAGGGGAACACAGTCATAGAGATCTCTCCCCAGAGACGGACAGAGGAAGGCCTGCAATGGATGGACCCCGGGACACTGACACAGGAAGGGGTGGAGGCTGGCTGAAAAGCCTGCTGCCTCAGGGCAGCCCTTCTGTGAGAATTAGAACAAGGTACCCCACCGCCCCCCTCCCCGCCTCCACCCCCGCCCCTAAAGAGGGACCCTCTCTTGGGAAGTAAATGCTTCCTTCCTTCAGATGCTCTAGCCTAACATCAAGGCCTGCGAGGCAGAACCTGGGCTGCCTCTCAGTGCCTGGCATCCCCGCCAGGTGCATTTGCACAGTGCACAACTATACAACTGTATGCTGTGGCCCTGCCGGCACCATCTCCTCCTTATATAAAGGGGAACCTGGACCCAGGAAGAATGCAGGAGTTGCTTGAGGTCATACGGGGGGAGAGGCAGCGGCAGCCCCAGGCTTGGATGTCCCCTGCGCAGACTCCTGGTCTAGCATCTGCCCCTCCCCCACCCCCAGTGGGTGTCTATGGAACCGCACTGCTGGCCCCCCCCAGGCCTGGGTGTACCAGCAGGCCCTGGGTGGGGGGGTGTCCTGGCTCCGCCTGGCTGGGGCTCCATGTGGGATGTGGGTGGCTCCAGCACCGGAAGAGGGAAGTAGGGGACACAGAGTCTCTCGGCTACACACCCAACGACAGCCACCCAGGCTCTGGGTGCACCTGCTGGTCCATGGCCTCCGGCACTGGGGCCAAGTGACCAAACCAGAGATTTGCCTACTGGGCTGGGTCTCCACTGTGGCCCGGGCACAGTGAGGTGGGGGAGAGGGAAAGGGATCAACCAGCCCCTCCAGCCCACAGTCACACACACACACACGCACACACGCACGCACACACAGCCACTCACACAAATACGACCAAAGACACACACAGGCCCGTGGAGACACGCACATACTAACACACACAGACACCTAAGTACCCACAGACAGGTGCCTGTAAGCACACGCAGGACACAAATGGAAACAAACAAAAACCCACAAATGCACAGATCTTCACATAAACACCTGGAACGCTTGTACATGAAGATGTACACACACGGAGATGTACCTACAGACACATCCACGTGCTTAGACCCAGACACACACACACACACACACACACACATACCCCGCTTCACGTCTCCATTTCCTTCTTCCCCACCAGGGTCCTTTTACGGCTCACGTTTCCTGCTCACTCCTCCTCTGTCTGACTCAATAGGGGATATGGTGTCAGGGACACTGGAGCCTTATTACACGCTCTTGCCATGGTCCCCCCTCCCACCGTCCGACACCCAGTTTCCAGGCCGTGTGAGCTGGGGCCACCCCACGATGTTTCCAGAGCTGGAGCTAAGGACCTCACCCCTGGGAGGGGACCCAGCAGCAACGCTCTGCTCCCTTCAGCTCCTGCTGGGGCTTCTCTCCAGGCAGCCCATCTTGACCTCTCTGTTTTGATCCTGGATCTCAGCCCACAAGGCTGTGTGAGGACAGGGTGACCCAGCGTGCGCGGTCGCAGAAAGGGGGTGCGAGAGGACCCCACGCCCGGCCTGGGTGGTTCTGGAGCTCCTGCCGGGTACAAGGCATGAACTTCTCCATCTTCTAGAGGAGGAGACAGACACAGAGACGGGGCCATCTGACGCAGGGTCATACAGCAGTGAGGACTGCGGGTGGGGGCCTGCTGGTAAGGGCTGGAGGGGGGGTCGAGACTGGCAGCCGGCTGGTGGGGGTGGGGATTGACTCCACACCTGCCTGCCTGATCGCTGCCCACCTCACTGAGGTTCTTAGAGCAGGCCCCATGGGGGAGGGTGTGTGAGCCAGACCTTGAATCAAATGGGCAGCATGGCTGGCTGTGGGCACTGAAGGAGGCAAGGTCATGGGCAAAGACAGAGTGCAGGGGTCAGCTCAAGGCTTGGCAGGGGCCCGGGGAGGGGACATGTGAGGGTGTGAGGTGGGCAGCCCCATCCCCAAGGAGAAGGCAGGCTGACTAGGTTTCAGTGGTCATGACCAACCACCATGCTAGGGAACCCTTCTCTGTCGCCCTCATCAGTTATGGGGCTCAACAAAGGCACAGAGTCCATCTGTCTTGTTCGCAGCTGAGACTCCAAAGCCCAAGACAGTGCCTGGCACATTTGCAGGTGATCAGGAAATATTAGAGAATGAATGAATGAATGAACGAATGAATGAATGACAAACGAACATTGCCTGCCTATTGGAGCACCAGATTTGAGCTTCTGGATGTCATCTGCCCTAGCCCCAGGATTTCGGTCACCCAGGCTCCCTGAGACCCTGCTGTGACCCTGCTATGCCCACCCCCACTTGCCCGGATGCCACAGCTGTAACCTCTCAGAACCGCTGAGCTTTAAGCCCCCCCTGCCACCCCTCTCTCTGTATGTGTCCCCTTGCTCATGCCCACCGTCTGCCCAACCCCAACCGAACTCCCTTGTACTGTTCTGAGCGATTCACCTTCCAAACTTGACACCTCCCCCCACCCCCCACCGCCGCCAGGCCCCAAGACCAAGATCGGGTCATTGCAATCCTCTCTGTGTCCCCAGGGCAGGAGGGATAGATACTTGCCCCCCTGGGGCCACTCAGGTTATTAAAACCCCGTTGAAGTGATGGCCTTGGCCACCTCACACCCACTCTGTGCTGTGCGGATAACGTGGCTTCGTTTGGGGAGGCCCCATCCCCTTGTCCCTCTGAGACATGAGTCTCTGGTCTGACCCCAGCCAGCATCAGCCCAGCGCCCTCTCTTCTCCCTGGGTCTAGGCAGGCAGCAGAGTGTAGCGGTCCTGCCCTGAGCTCTGGAGTCAGACTGGCTGGGTTCGTTCCCAGCTCTCCGCAGCCAGGGCTGCCTCCTGCTCCCCGCCGGGGAGGCCACTTGACCGCTCTAAGCTGCAGTTAATAGCATTACCCACGCTGTAGGCTAAACAAGATGATGGGTGTCAAGGGCCTGGTGGCTGAATGGTAGCTAGCTGGCTTGATGTTGGAGCAGAGGAGACACAGGCCCGTGTGGGAGTGGGGACTTGGGATAGTCACAGGGCCTGGCCTTTGCCCCCCCCCCCCCCCCCCCGGACAGACCCTCTCAGGGGCCCAGGCTGCCCCTGTTGTGTCCCCAAGGCCAGCTCCTACCAGCCTCTCCTGGAAACAGCTTGCCTCTCCCCTCACCTGGAAACCAGGCTTTGGGCGTTGAGGTGAGTCACTCCTAGTGGGTGCCTATTGTAGCAGCTACCAGAAGCTTCCTTCCCCTCCCCGCAGATATTCTAGAAGCCGTTCTGAGGTGTACGGTGTACAGATGATTAACTGTATTAAGCCCCCACAGCCTGCTGGGTGTTGGGAATATTCCATGGGCCTTCATCTTCTCAGCAAGAACACCGAGGGGCGTCCCTCGGGGGGAGGCTTGGCGACTCAAGTGGGTGCTGCACTGACAGCCGTGGTGTGGGGGTGTGGAGCCCCGAGGGCCGATGGGATTGGGAGAAACGCTGGGTGCCACGCCATCGGGCCCCACTTCTGACGCACGCAGATGCGTGTGAGGCCGCTGCCCCTCACGGCACCATGGTGGCTGATGTTGACAGGTACCATCTGGCCCAGGTCACGTGGTGACATGCAGACCCACCAGCTCACAGGCTTGACAGCTGGCCAGCCGGGCAAAGGCATCTGTCCGTGGGAACTGGAGGCCCCCCCGAGGGGGGGCGGGGGTAGCGGAAGCCTGCGTGGGGAGGACCATGGATTAGCTCTACCCAGACAGATGGAGGCCTGAAACTCAGAATCCGATCCCCACTTTCCTCTCTGGCCATCTGGAGGGCCACCCCTTCTCTAGGAAATTTTCCCTATAGTTAGATTGGCAAGGGCAGAGGAGGAGCGGGACCCAGGAACACCCCCCCCCTCCCCCCCCGCCGCTAGGGCCTCTGTTCAAGGTCAGAGGAGAGCCTGCCACCTCTTTCAAGCCTTCGGATACTCCCTGCTTCTCACGATGCTGCTACAGACAGGGCTCCAGCAAGACCGTTCTTAGAATCCTGAGATGTCAATCCTGGAAGGACCTTTGTAATAACAGTTAATCGGGGCCAGAGAGAGAAAGCAACCTCGGAAGACACGCAGTTTATTGAGCCGCACACTCAGGTCTCTGCACTCTGAACACAAAGCCTTCCTCACTATATCCTGACATCGGGCTCTCGAGTGGGCGCAAGTGGGGGCCTGGCAGCTGCCTAGGAGAGCCAGGCATCTCTTTCGCAGCCAGGAAAACATGGGGCTTTGTTTTCTTTTGCCGACGAGGGGGTGTGTGAGTATGAGTGTGTGTTAGCGTGCATATGTCCTCAGGGGTCCCCGGGGAAAGGGATAGGTCAGAAGGGGATCAGCTTAGCCCACCTCTCCTCAGAGAGACACTGGGTGAGATGCTGAAGGAGCCGTGTTCAGGCAAGACTTCATGGGACTCTGGGCCCCAGCATGCTTGCTGTGGCCCCAATGACAGGTGTGGTCCCTCTGGTATGAGCCTTGCAGCAGGGACAGGTTCACCTGGAGAGGGAGGTGGGGGGGTCTCTGGCACCAGGGATAGGCGGCTTCGAAGAACACGGGCAAATGGATTCTCACGCATAGCCAAGGCATCTGGCAGCGTGGGCACTCCTGGGTACCACAGTGAGGACCCTGGAGTGGGGGACAGTGTGCCCTCCACTGTGACCATGGGGTCCCCTCAGTGCCCACGCTGCAACCAAGAGAAACCTACTTGAGCGAATGTAAGCA